ATTTAAGGTTAAGTTTGAATAGAATTAGCTTCAAACTTTTATTTCTCAGCTGTTTCTGTGCTCTGAAGGAGGCTTTGTGCTTTTTGTTTTCATGCTAAATACTGGAAATGCAGAAATCCTGTTCTAACAAACGGCAGGAATAAACTGGGCCTTTAAACACAAAAGAAGTTAATTCAAGATGGCTTCCCTCTCCCAATGTTTGTCAAACCGCTAGAGTGAAGAAAATGTTTTCATCTTCAAACATGGGAAATGGTTCCTTTAAGCAGGTCAGATCAGAATAATTTAAAGCACAAATAAAGAAAATGACCTTTTTGTTTCCCAGTCAGCTGATAAGCCTCAACCCAGAGCAGAGGGGAGAGCGCCCCCTACCCCCCATACCTGCCACAGCTGTCGCCCTTTAACCAGATATCTCTGCTGGCCCTTGGAGACAAACCTATGCACATCATTCCCTCTGCATGTTTGGTGTCACTGTTGAATGTCGCTCCTGAAGAAGCACCTTCCTGTGAAGCCTGCTGCACATGGTGAGGGTCTCCTGTCGATTGTTCTTCACCGTGCCTCGTTTAGAGGGTCACCTTCATGGCACTAACGTACCAGTTTATGTTGAATGTAAATGAATTTTCTCTTAGAGAACTCATGCTCTGACTGAACAGATGGAACCACAAAGTTTTGTATTTGCCTGTAAAAGCTGGACGGACGTTGCTAATCTCCTGTTCCGTAATCTAGAGTGCCTCAGATGATCCGTTTCCTCTCTGTGTGACCAGGACGCCATCTTTAACGTTCAGTTTTAGTCTGACGGTAAACCTTCAGCATGCTTTTGTCCCTTCCTGTCCCATTTAATGAACAGTTTTTACTCCTCGGATCAAACGTTCTGGACTCAAACGGCATGATGTACGACTTTATAAGAAGCTGCATGTGTGGCGGCGTACGGTTTCTGCATGGCAGCCCCCAGCTTCCACAGCAGGCTAGAAATCAGCTCCTAGAGCAGGCAGTGTGGACGCATGACTTTTAGAGATGTTGCTGAAAACTGAAACGGCTTTGTTCAATCAGTGCATATCCATGTGTTACATGTTTGGAGTTGGAACTTAATAAATGCTTTGCTTACAAACACCATGTTCACGTCTGATGATTGTGGGCTGCAGGAGGAGACGCTGCAACGTCTGAGCTCATCCAATCAGCAGCTGCTGGGGAGTAAAAGGTCCTTCCTGACATCAGACCTCAAAAGTATCAGATAATCCTGGTTTGGATGCAGATGCATCATTATGAAACATTAGGGTTCATATTTTTAATGAAATAAGACTTCATATAAAAAAAAAACTATGAAAAAGTTAAAGAAGCACCTTGTAGATTTTCACTCAAACATTAATTTGAGATTAATTAATTTATCTTTTAGGTCATTCATATAAGCCGACTGCAGTCGATCAGTTCATTGAGAAACCATGGGGAAAGTAAACCCAGTGTTTCACTGGTTGAAAGCTATGAGGTTAAAAATTTAATTAAAGAAAAGAGTAATATTAAAACCATCAATGAAACCAGGGAAAGAGGAAGATGGGCCACTGCCGAGAGGTTAGATGTTGCATTTGTCAACTTTTTTAATAACATTTTCAGAGATATCCAAATTAAGTATTTAAACGTTTATAGGGCAAGTTACCATTTTAGATCACTTGCATACCCCTTACAAATGGAGTCAACAACACCAATCCCTCAGTGAGTTCTAGAAGCACAAGATCTATATCCAGCAATTCGGATCCAGCTACATGGCTGTACATCTTGTTTTGGCATCTGACCAATTAGATTATCCCTTGAATGATAGAATACCTACTGGAAATTAAGTTGGGGAAAAAAAGGTAAAAAGCTAATTGAAGAGTTAATAATCCTATTTAACAATTATATTGAGGTTTATAAACTAAAAAATGTCAGTATCAGCATTAATGCCTCTAAGGTTATGGTGCACCAAAGAAATGTGTTTTTCATGAATTTCTCATGAAGCACTTTTATTTTTCTTAATATATCCGGGCAGGTTGGCGTTTCTAATTGCATTGACATTAATTTTTGCCATCAAAATATCCAGATTTTTAGAATGTTCCAATAAGGTCTTGTCCTGGATTCCAATAACACTATTGGCTTGAAAATATTTAACTGAGTGCCCAATAAAGGGTTAACTGTTATTTGAAGATAATTTATATTAGAATATTGTGTATTAGTTTAGTCAGTCTGCAGATCTCAGGCACTGTTTGTCAGGTTTTAATCTGGAAGGATTTTCAGATAAAAAAAAAGAAATTATTGTAATCCATGAAATGAAGACTTCTTCCATAAACTTGATTGTTTCAGCAACACCAGCAGTCAGATGCACACCTTGTAACAGTTGAAAATAAAGTGCAAAAAGCTCATCCATAATGGTAGCTCTGACTGAACCATTCAGAATTTCTCCACTTTCCTTGATGGGCCCTCGGCTGGTCCCCTGCAATTCCTTTTTTAAACTTATTAATAATCTGTCATGATTTGTGGACATTAAGATCTAAAGAGAAGCGTACTCTCCTGGTCAGACCCTGTAATTCAGTGAAAGAATGGAGTCAGAGTAAAAAAGATGAATGCCCAGGAGAAGGCCAGTGGCTGGAAAATGGAGGGGATTGTGGAGTTTAAGAGGAAGCTGAGACTCTTGCAAGAGAATATTCAAACTTATTTAACGTCCTCAGACTGAGAGATGGAGCTCTGACTGGACAAAGCTCAGTTCATATACTTATACAGCAATTCCCAACACACACACTCTGCCTGGAACTATCCCACCCCTACATAAAGAACTTTCTCACACACGAACATTTGGATAATCCAAAAAAAAAAAAAAAAACTTCAAATCATCAAGGACTTACATTTTAGCCAGATAAACACTCAGAACAGGTCTCCTGTTCACGGCTTGAAGGAGGCTGTGTGAACTGATTCTTATCTCATGACCCTCCCTTCACCCTTGTCTAGAGTAGGGAGGCAACTGCTTTCTGTCACCCCCACCCTCAACTCCATAACATAACCTACGTGTTTACAAAACAATAAATGGTGTCTAATATTAAAAAACAGGCAAACCTGTGAGTCCAGTTATGCTTTGGTTCTACTGACTTTAAAATACGCTTAAAGCACTGAAGGGACACAACTGTGATCAGAATTTTTGGAATTGAAAAATTTAAGACACTCTTAATCTAATCCTCTCTGCTTTTTATACATCTATGTTCAGATGCATCTCAACAAATTAAAAAATGAAGATATACATTTATTAGATGGATATAAATAAACCCTATATTTCTATTAAAGCCGTTAAATGGACACAACAGACCTGAAAAAGAATAAATTAAAATGTGGCGCTTTAAACCCTGGGTGGGTGGATGGTGGACAGCAGCCTAACTGTGGCGGAACGAAGCTGCAAACTTGGAGGCATCTAAGGCAGCCGTATCCAGGATTAATGATGGAATGTTTAGTGGAAGGAAAAAAACGCCGGCAGATAAATGCTCCCCAGTAACAAGGAATACTGCAGCCTGGAAAGGGCTGCTTAAGGAGAGAGACTGAGCAGAGGAATCAGAAGCTGGAGTCCCGCTGCGCTTCTGTCTGGAGAATATTTCCTCATGAAGGCAGAGGATGAACTTTAACTGTGATCAGACTTTTCAGCTGAAAGCTCCCTGGTTCTGGATGGGTGGAGAGTGAGGGAATGGTCTGAGGAGCCTCTTTATCTGCTGCTGATGTTTTACCAAACCCAGAACAGTTTTATCTTTTCTAAGCAGCTCCATGATCCTGGTTTGATCATCTTGAAGGCCTTTAACACTTGGATCATGCTCTTAAAATATGTGTTTTCCCTCCTATGTTGAGCAGATCAATGTGATCTGCTGATGAAATTAAGGACTTTTTACCTTAAAATAACTGGATATTATGCTCTTTACCAGAAAGCTTATTATTTTATATATAAACAATCAGTCTTACCTTCTCAAATTCCAGAGCAATATATTTATTCCAAGGAAACTGACTCTAGTTTTTAATGTGTATAAAACGCTTTGGTCTAATTTAGCTTTCTGAGATGATTCATAATAAATAGAAAAATGGGAAAAATCACCCTGAGAGGAGTAAATTTAAAGCAGACTTTATTTTCCACATTAGAATGATCTGAAAGTTAAACACTTTAGATCCAGGTTTCTTGTCCTCCCGTTGGAAAAGATGTCTTTTTAACATTTGCCAAAATATATAAAGTTAATCTACAGAAGTTTTATGTTACAACCTAAAAAAATAATCCAACTGTGGCTCTTTATAAATTTCTACAGCAGGAATCCTTTCTAGAGAACTACACCGTTTTGTTTCAAAGCATCCTGTTAAAGGAAAAGTCCGCTCATATTCAGAATCAAACTTCTGAAAGTGCTTTAAATATGAAATTATTACATCCTGTTCAATAAATGATAAGTGTTTTTAATTGAGTGTAATTGTCATTTGAATGCCCTTTGCTCCAGTAAAGTCAAAGAACACTACTGCCACCTACTGGTTTGTGACGTCACGGTGCGGTATCGGCTGTTGATCAAGTCCCAGTGCTGTATCTGGTGTTTATCACAACGCGCTATTATCCAAGAAGTTTGATGGCAAATCCTCCCTCTTCAAGTTGGCAATCCAACGATGAACCCGTCCGTGGAGGATCAGAAATAGGAAAGGTGAGATAACTCCTTTTTTTTCCCACTTTTACCGTTTGTATTCCAGCATCCAGCTGCCATGCACGTGGGCATTGTCAGTTTCACTATAGCTCTGGTGAATTTCAATGGTGAAGTCCTCTGGGAATCTTCAATAATTGTTGTTGATTGCAGATGTGTCTAGAAGATGTCTGGAAGATGGCAGGAGGGAGGGGTTACTATATTTGGGCAGAAATGGCCGCTCCCAGACTCAGTGATCGCAACAAAAAATGTTTTTATTTTTTACTGATTAATGCTAAATGAACAGATTAGTTTTAGGTATAAATAATGATCCATTGGTTTTTTTCCTCGCTGACTGGACTTTTCCTTTAACAGTTTTTTGGCAGGACTTTGAACCAAAGCTGGTCTTCGGATCCTGAAGGAAAATAAAACTTCTTCCATTTCATTAAGCATACAGCAAAACCTTTATTTATAGAAATATCTGTAGTGTTGCATTTATAGACGTTTACATTTTCCAAAACATAGAAAAGGGAAATGTTGGTCTCTAGACTGAGGTAAGACTGAAGAGAAGCGGTCTTTTGATTGGCTCTCAGTGAATCCACTGACAGATCTGTGCAAAGGACACTAGACGATTTCACTAGTGAATAAAAACCTGTGTCGGTTGGAGGTCGGACTCCAGGCTTCAGATGGAGTCATTAAGTGCAGCTTTCCTCTCTTCAGCTGTTTGAATGGAACACATTCAGGTTGGCCTTCCCTCTCAGCAGGACCCGAACTCCTCGATCCACTTCTCGTACTTCTCCAGGTCGGTAGCAGAGACCGATTTGGAGACCTTCTTCAGCGCAGACTCAAAGTCCTCCATGGTGGTGGGCATGTGCATCTCGTCCCGGGAAAGGTTACGGATCTCCTCCGGGGTGAGGCCCTCAATCCTTCTCCTCATGGCCATCAGAGAGGCATCCCTGGAACATCAAGCAGTAAACAGTTCTTAACATTAGGACTCCCAGAAATCTGATCCTACTACAACTCCCACTGGCATCAATTTGACGGTGACATTTTTCCCAATGGAACAAGTGAGTAGTGATGATGCCATGGCCTGTGCGGATAAAAGGCAACATTGTGCACAGCAGACTTATTTAAAAAAAAGAAGCCAACCAAAAAAGTATAGACGAACGACTTACAGAACTCGCTTCTCCACTACGTCACATCCAGGACACACCCACCCTGCGTCCTGATTGGCCAGACCATAAATTCGGTTGGGGAAATCACTTTCAATGAGCGGTGTCCCAGATGTATGTGAGTGGAGCTAGGCGGAGCGAGACATGCATCTGGCTGTTGTCAGGTTAATTTAAACTACCCTTGAAAAACAGTGCAGAGACCGGACCAAGCTCAGTAACTGAGATAACTTATTGTGTGTAAATGGAAAGCAAACTGAACTGGACCGAGCTAGACCCAACCGGACCGAGCTAACTGCAGACCAGTTCCAGAGGTGGGCTCGGCTCGGTTTTTCCCTGCCTCGGTTCTCTGATAACAAGAGCGCGTGAGCAGAACGCATCATCTCCATCTGGCTGCACATCCTGATTCACACTCCATTCCAGTAGTTGGCGGTAATGCCCCTCTGGAAGTTGCTTGCCAACCAAAACAAAAACAGAAGAAGAAGAACAACTGTAAACAATAATCGAAATCTTCTCCACGCAACATTTTAAATAATGGTTGACGTCTTCCCCTGACCCTCCACAAACACCAAAGTACAGCAATAATAATCAAGCATAACTTTCTGAATGTGACGGGCGCCGCCATTTTGATTTGCTTGATTCCCTCCTTCTCCGTCTTCTTCTTCTTGTGTTTTATGGCGGTTAGCAAACAACTTTTGGTGCATTACCGCCACCAACTGCTTGATTTCCTCCTTCAATACTGGCAGTAATACCGCAGATCGTCACTAGGAGGCGAGGAGTCGAGATAGTGTGAAGTGTAAACGGTCGTCAGAACCGAGCTGGGCCTGGTTAACTGATCCGAGCTCGGACCGGTCTCGGCATGGATCGGTTTTTCAAGGGTAGTGTAGATGGGTAATTGTATGATGGGTCACTGATAGGTCTGCGTTTTCCCGAGGGTGGGTGATCATCCTCGGACTCGCTGTCAGAATCTGAGCTGCTTCCTCCCCAGTCCTCCTCCTCAGTCTCTTCCTCTCCGCCCAAATCGCTATCATCAATACTTTGAAGCATTTCTAAAGCCTGTTTCGCTGTTAGATTTCTTCTGAAAGGCATTTTTCGGTATAAGCTAAAGAGTTCTAGGTAGAATGTTGGTTGCTAGGCAACAGTAACGAACATCAATCAACCACGGGAAGAAATTACAATACAATTAATAGATCCGTCAAAATGATGGCTGTAGGAAATCGAGGTAGAATTAACTATATTTTTTACGTTTTAATTTTATAAAAAAAAAAAAAAAACTACATGAAATGAATGAAATATAGAAACAGAAAGAGTCAGTTAACATGAGCAACATATGATTAATTTGTGGGGGTTATTTTCAGGGGGTGTGTCCTCGGCTGCTCTGACCTGCACACGTTGGTGATGTCAGCTCCAGAGTAGCCCTCCAGCTGCTCTGAGATCTTGTCCAGATCCACGTCACTGGCCAGCTCCAGCTCCTTCAGGTTGATCCGGAGCATCTCCACTCTCCCCTTAACTGCAAATATAAAAACAGTCGCTATGAGCATCTGTTCTACAACCAGAGAGGTCGGCTACCCAGATGGAGAAACGTCTCCTCCCTCAGTTAACACCAGAGACCTGGTGGGTAACATCTGCTATCTTCTGCAGCTCAGGGTCCAAATATTTGCAGCTAAAGTCCAGAGAAAGGGAAGCAATAGATGATTATCTGAAGGTTGCAACCAGCGAGCAAAGACAATGAAGCATAAAGCCTGTAGTGAGGTAATCCTGGTGAGTCGTGACCAAAGATGGCGGATCAATCCTGTTGGATTTCAGCTGGAGAGCAATAAAATGCACAGCTGTTAACTTTCCTGGTAACCGATAACTTCCAGGTCAGGATGAGCCTGATGGCTTGGAATTCATTATTTTAACAAATACCAGTATTAGAAGATCTGGAGAGTTTATTTATATTAAAGTTCAAAAGTACCACAATTATGTTTTTGGTTTGTTTTTTTATTTTCGTTTGTTTTAAAATTATGTTTTAATATTTGGTACATCAAATAATATGTTTTATGGTTTCTCTTGTTTTAAAGGAAAAGTCCGCTCATATTCAGAATTCAAACTTCTGAGAGCACTTTAAATGTGAAATTGTTCCATCCTGTTCAATAAATGATAAGTGATTTTAATTCAGAGTAATCTTCATGTTAATGTGCTTTACTGGAGGCATCCATGTTTGTCAAAGAACACTACTGCCACCTACTGGTTTGTGACGTCACGGTGCGGTATCGGCTGTTGATCAAGTCCCAGTGCTGTATCTGGTGTTTGTCACAACGCGCTATTATCCAAGTCGTCTTGAAAACATTCTTCTTCCAAATGTTGGCTACATATTACGGGTTTTTTCTCTGGCCAGAAGTTCGATGGCAAATCCTCCCTCTTCAAGTTGGCGATCCAACGACCAAACTGTCCGTGGAGGATCAGGAATCAGAAAGGTGAAAAAACTCATTTTTTTTTTCACTTTTCCCCGATGTATTCCAGCATCCAGCTGCCATGCACGTGGGCATTGTCAGTTTCACTATAGCTCTGGTGAATTTCAATGGTGAAGTCCTCTGGAAATCTTCAATAATTGTTGTTGATTGCAGATGTGTCTAGTAGTTCCCATTGATTTAGCTTGTAAAGCGGGGAGAATGGCGCTAGGCTTACCGCACCGTGACGTCACTGCTGGAAGCGCCACTGTTAGTCCATCAGGCTAGTCTGAGCTGTTTCTCCTACACAGAACTAAACAAACCTGCTCGTCTACAGGTCTCTTAAGCTCCGAACTAACTTAATGCTAGAAGTAAAACAATAGTGGTGGCGCTGGGTTTAAGCCATGGCGCTGAGGGCACTGGTTAAACTGGGATCAAACCAACGTCTGAGCGGCTTTACCTGAAGGCAGAGGGATGTAAATCCTCTTCTCCAGCCGTCTCCTCAGGGCCTCGTCGATGTCCCAGGGGAAGTTGGTAGCGGCGAGCACCATCACCATCTTTGATGGGTCGTCGTTCTCCGAGGCTCCGCCCACGCCTGCAGCACAGCAGAGCAGATGCTGATGAACCGAGCAGGGGAGCCTTTGACACGTCAAAGCTAAATGAGAACCGTACCGTCCATCTGGACCAGCAGCTCTGCCTTGACTCTCCTGCTGGCCTCGTGTTCCTCTGAGGTTCCTCTGCGGCTGCACATGGAGTCGATTTCATCAATGAAAATGGTTGTTGGAGCGTAAAAGCGAGCCTGGAACAAAGATCAATTGCACCAATTTGCCATTTTTCTGAAATGATTGGTCTTTAAAAGGCCACTTAGCCAATCAGCTTGGTTTCCATTCTTACCATCTCAAAAAGAAGGCGAACCAGCTTCTCTGACTCTCCTCGGTACTTTGAGGTTAGTGTGGATGAAGACACGTTGAAAAAAGTAGTTCTGCATTCGGTGGCGACTGCTTTGGCCAGAAGAGTCTTCCCCGTGCCTGGAGGCCCAACCATCAGCACCCCCTGTGGAGGACAGGAGCCGTCAGCTGGAAGAAGGCTGGAGAAGCAGCCTGAGCAGATTAACTAAAGCCTCAGTGGAAGGAACAGAATGTAAAACAATGTTCTGCACAGTGAAGAACTTCAGAACACAAAGTTGTTCAATTCACATTTCTTGCAGGACATGTCTGCATATATGGTCAACAGAAGCCCCATTTCCACCACCCTCTGAAAACTGATCTGTGCCAAGCATGGATCAGTTAACCGTACAGAGCTCTGTTCATTGACCATTTACACACTGCTCCAGCACGGTTCCTCGCCTCCTAGTGACGATCTGTGGTACTACTGCTCTCTATACAGGGTTCCTACAGCATAAGGCAAGTTAAATTCAAGACTTTTTAAGACTTTTTAATGCCACTTGAAATAAAAATTTTAAGACCAAATTGACAAGAAACACAAGAAAAACCTTCTTGCGACAACTTAACCCAAAGGTTTATTTTAACATTTCCCACTGCACTAATGTTTCATATTTTTAAAAGCTTCCCATACAGGAAGAAAGCTAAAAACACACAAATGACAGATATATTTCAACAATTATTTAACTGAATTCACAAACTTTGTTTTAGCAGGGAACAAAACAAATCAGTTTTAAAGCCACAACATAACCAGTGCTAAGACGTTTTTGCAGCTATTTTTCTTTGTATGGTTTTCTTAGTATGTTTGATTTGGTGATAAGTGGAGGCGTTGCAGAGACAAGGGTGGAACTAAACTGAGAAATACCGGCTGTTTCTCTGTAACTCCATTTTGACGCTTTGTGTTTCGTGCTTCGCATGTGTGACTCCACTGCCTTAATTCCCATCGTTCTGAGCTTGAATGACTTCTTGCACTAAATCCACTGAGCCTCATGCATGTTCCCTGGTTTTAGCCATGGAGAAAACTCTTGGCTGGAGCCAATTTTGGTTACATTTACACTTGCTCATATTTTCCAGACAAAAGGTTAATGGTGCATCTCCCAAATGTCCCGGCCGCAACAACGCTTTTATTGGTTCCGTCCCGATAGCGGAACCAATAATGGCGAGCCATTTTTTTTTTTTATTGTAAAAAAAAATAAAATGTCAATTTTAAAGTTTTATTTAGATCACAAAAATATATCGTAATAAAAATAATCCTATTTATGATGTTTTAAAAATTAAGACCTACGAAAGACTGATTTAAGACATTTTAATACCAATTAAGGCCTTAGTTTTATTTTGAAGAATTCAATGCCTTTTAAGACTTTTTAAAGACCCGCGGGAACCCTGCTAGAGGTAAACAAGCAAATCAACATGGCGGCGCCTGTAACAGTCGGGACGTTTGCGGAGAGTCAGGCGAAGAAGGCAGCCTTTGGTGAATTTACTTGACAGAGTTGGCTTTTGGGAAGTGGATACGACAAACGATCGTCTAATCAGGGCTTACAGACGCAGGAAACGATGACAGATGTTGAAGTTCATCACACTGCTAAGCAGAATCATCACTGGAAATCATGTTGCGAGGTAGGGAAGCTAGGATTTTTAAGAATGTCTGAAATACCATGATTACGGAGGCTGACTGTAACAAGATGAGGCGGTTTGCTCATCCACTCTTTCTCATCTGAGAACTGAGCCAGAACTGAACCACACCGAGCCCTACTGATGAACTAGTAGCATGTTAGCGCAGTTCAGTTGCGTCTGGTGCGGTCCGGTTCAGTTGTGCGTGCCATTTACACTCAGTTACCTCAGTGTGGAGAACAAATGTAGAAATATGTCTGTTCTTAGCCTCACAGGGTCCAAATGAAGGTCATGAGAGATAAGAATGAGTCACACAGCCTCCTTCATGGCATGAAAGGGAGGACTGGGGTTTTGAGAAGATCTATATGGTCAGTGAAAGATATATTAACCTAACAGCCTTGATGAACTTGAGTTGTTTTTCCTCCAAATGTTCAAGTGTCTTTATGGGGGGGGTATGTGTGTGATTTTGTAAGGTATAAATGTATGTACTGAGGTTGCCTCAGTCAGAGCCCCATCTCTCTGTCTGAGGACGTTAAATAAATTTGAACCTTTTTTTCCTGCAAGAAACGCCTCTGCTTCAGCTTCCTAACTCCACAGCAGTTACCGTGCTCGGCCCGATCTCTGCACGGTTTAAAGGGATAGTGTAAATGGGGTTATAGTTCCTGTCAACACAAGCATCAGTCAGTCGTTTTGACCCTCCTGTCTACAGTCTTCCCAGTGCTGTTATCTTCATAAGAACGTTGGATCACGCTTCAGTTTTTCGTTAGCTTTTCCCGTCATTTTGTGGTCTATGAAAGCGGTACCTTCCATGGTCTCCTGATGCCTTTGAAGAAAGCAGGCATCCACATGGGCAGCACTACCGCTTCTTTCAGGAGTTTCTTGGCGTCTTCTAAATCTGCGATGTCATCCCTGGAAAATCCAAAACATGAAAACATAGAGCAGCTTGCTTTGTTTAACTTGTGTTTCTTTGCATCCTTAAGTCAAATTAAACATGGAGGATGAGACGAGCAGCCATCACTGATCCCCCCCCCCCCCCCCCCGAGCCTATAGAGAATTAACACCTTAATGCCTGACAGTGTACAAAATATAATTAGTGTTTTTGCTGTCGGTCAGATTCTAGGTTAATTTGGGATATTAGTTTTTAAAAATCGCTTTATAATTAGTGGAAACTTGGGTGTGAAGCTAATTAGCGACACCAGGCGTCTAAAGAATAAAACCTTTCATCTCAGCATGTTGAGTATTTTATTAATGTACAGCTCAGACGTATGGATTAAATTAAAACGTGTTCTTAAATGTGGATTACTTTATTAAAGCATTTTAAATTTGGAGAAAATCGACTGGCTACCCAGTCTACAGAGCTGCTAATCCTTCCTTTGAAAGAAGAAAACTGTCTGGAATTTAACTACTCGTTTTAAAATAATAATTTTCATTATTAAAACGAGTTTCATATTTAACATCCTATTGAGGCACTTTCTATGAGCTGTTGCCCCCACTTCCTCACCGCCTCGACCGCATCTAGACCCACAGCTAGTTCCTGATTGTCCAGATTATAGCGCAGACCACGCTTCAATATTGGGCATAAATCAAAAATATCTACGACAAACACACTGTGACACCCAGCTGCAGGAGGATAACCAGCCCTTTAGTCCTTGATGTGGGCGACCCGGGTTCAAATCGGACCTGTAGACCTTTGCCCCATGTCTCTCCCCCTCTCATACCCCCTTTTCCTATCCAAAAAAACAAGCCACTAGTGCTGTACAACAAAAAGAAACTCATACATTAGCTGTAGGGCGAAAAAACTAAAAATGACCAATAAGTCTGGATTTGTTTGTTTAAACCGACTCTACACTAGTGATTCTACCAGACAAATTCTGTGCTGTTTAATTTACATTCCAAACTACTAAATGGTATAAAAGCACATTTTAGGCTCCATTAACCAACATTTAGCATGCTGTGTGTATTTAGCCTGGAACTGGTATGAAGCTAATTAGCTTCACATTAAGACTGAAACCCTGATAATAAGTTTAGTTGATCGAGTTAAAACAGACGACAGACTTTGCAAAAGATCTACTCACCATTTCACATTTGGGTTCTGGGATATGATGTCCCTCTCTAGCGCCTCCACCAGGTCTTTGTCATATCCTGTCCCGTCAAACTTTTTCACTTCCTTCTCCTGCACATAAAAACAACATCAAGTCTTCAGATCGCTGACTGTAACCCTCATCCTCTGAGGGAAAACTGGAAGAACAGGCCAGCTGTGAGCAAACAAGCAGCGTCAAGCCGCTGTTTGATCAGCAGAGTTATTGCTGAAAACACAAAGTTCTCCAGAACTACTCCATGCTGGTCACCTTGTCATCTTTTGCTTTGCCAGCAGCCTCCTTCACCTCCTTGGACTCCTTCTTCTCTTTGCCTCTGGAGGCCCTGCTTTTGTCTCCGTTGCTGCCTCGCGGTGACTGCTTCTGATGGGGTCTCACCGCCGCGCTCAGCCGGTTGTTGGGAGGTTTGCTCTCCTTATGGAAGTTAGAACGTCTGACGGGACCGGGAGAGTGTCTGCGACAGCAGGAGAGGACATTAAAGCTGGAGGCAGGGTCAGAGGGGAAGCTACTGGCAAAATGGGTTCAGTTACTGAGGGGCAGAAAATGAAACCTCAGACTTCTTCCAAAAGGCCATCATTCAAGGCGATTCTGGGAAGCTCTATGGAACTGAGGCTGAGCGCAAAGTGAATGTTTATTTTCACAGGATGAGGTTAAAGCTCTTTAAGAGCGTCTGAGGATGATGATGATGATGAGGGAAAAGTGGCAGGAAAATGGGGCTTGTAATAAAATGATGAGGATCGACATCTCGATTACATGGAGCAGCTACACTATGCTAACAAACAGAAATCAGACCAACCCTGGCCTTCTGTTCACTGCCAAAGACGCCATCTAGTGGCAATACTAAGAAAATTTGTAAACAACCGGGTCAAGATGGGTCGGGTCAGTTTAAAACTCATTAATTTTCCATTAGTAGTGGTTCAACGGTAACGCTACTAAAATAAATGCTAACAGCTAACAAAGAGTTGGTACCATTGGAAAAGGGTCGTTAGAGATCAACTGATACAGTTAAAAAATGAATCAGATTTCATGTTTCCCTGCTCCAGCACAGCTGATTTTAATTGAAAGCTGATTAACAGGCTTTTGCTCAACTGCAATCATCAGAATCAGCTGTGCTAAAGCAGGAAAACCTCTAAAACCTGCAGGACAGCGGCCATCAAGGAGCGACTTTTGGGATGCCTGTTTTAAGCCCGAAGCGACTGTTCCAACCGCTGCAGTTCCGAATTCTCCTGAGTGGTGCCCGACTTTACACTAGGGAAGTGAATGTGATCTGTCAATTATCAAGGGGGCGGGATTGTTTGGTTGTGGTCTGTGTCTCGGAAGTATCTTGCTAACCAGTTAGCAACTTAGTGCTAGTAGGTTCCCAATGGGAAATTCCATTGGGACCAAGTAGCACTAAATTGGTGACTTAGAAACGACACCGTCAAGGAACGCTAAAAAATGAGCAACTAGTGCCGTAAAAAACAAAAAAATAAATGTCCAAATTGACTTCAACCTGAAAAACAAACACTGCTGGCTCCCATCTGTCCAGCTGTGAAGCTGCTTCATGCATGAAGCTAAACTGGTGGCTAAAAAGTGCTGCTCTCAGTAGTGAAGGAAAACTTCAGATAAAGACATTAAAAACATTTTCACTTAAAAGTTTATTTAAACAGCTAACCACTATTATCAATTCTGATCATTTAAAGAGTCGGCATCTGTTAAAAAGATAAACATAACTGAAAGATTGGCAGAGAGAGCATAAAATCCTCAGCAGCAAAGCAAACAAGCTCCCAGCAGGAACTGAGGCTCCTGATCTCAGTCATATGACTGCAGCTGGATTATGGGGAGTTCAGCCTGCTGCCCGGGCTCTGAATGAGGAGCCCAAACACCCAGCAGCGTGTTACTGAGAAAACTAAATACCTTGGTTCTACATGCGCCGGCCTCATTTCAAAGTCGTCGTGGTTGGAGGCTTTAACAGGCGCCGTGTCCAGCTGGAAGCTCCTCAGGGTGGACATGATGTCCTGAACCTGTCGGTTCTCCTCACTGACTTCCTGCCACAGCTGAGAAACAGGCGGATCAGATAAAGTCAGCATCCTGGTGCAGACGTACCCATCAGACTTTTCTGCATAGATTTACTGTTTTTTTGCAGAGCTTTGGCAAACAAACTAGTACAAATCAGCTTTGCAGTTTCTCCTAATTTCATTATAAAGTCTCCAAACTTCAATTTTATTAATAAATTAAACATTCTGTTAGATGATGCACAGGTCGAACTGAACAGATTGGAGTTCTTAGTTTTAATACATTGAATTAACCTACGGCATCTTTTCAGAAGCCAGGTGTGGGGGTTTACCTGCTGCCATCTCTGCTGAACGCCGCCGTCCTGCACGCCGTACATGTGCTTCCTGATCTGTTCCAGAAGGCCGTTATAGAGAACACTGGCTGAGCTGTAGTTTCCCAGCAAGGCGTACTCCCGCGCCAGCTTCATGTTCTCGCTGATATCTCGCAGACTCATGCTGCAGGATAAGCAAAGGTAAAGCATTACTCTATTATCTGGTGGCACTGGCTACGTCTATAAACACCAAGCAGGGTTATTTCTCACTTTTACAGCCATATAGCTTTAAAAAAAAATAAAGTATGAAGTGAATTTTGTTCCATTATTTTTGCAAGCAAAGAATACTCTTTGTAAATTGAAAAAAAAAAAAATTTATCCAGAAATAAAAGCTTGAATAGTGTTTTAACAATAAAAAAATATATGTATGAGAGTAACTTTGCCGTTTTCTCTGATTTAGTTAAAAAAAAAAAAAATGTATATTCTACTTTTTTCAAAAACTTTTTTCGCATATTTTATATATTTAATTTTCATTTTTTTTTTAATTGTGTTTCACAGATCATTCTCATCCCTTAAAGTCCAATGCGAATGTTCACTTTTCACCAATCGATATGTTTCCACATTCAGCAGACCAATAGAAATATGTCTTCCTTCTCTTTTACTTCCCCCAGAAGTAAGGAGAATGTGATCTGTTAATTTATAACCTGTATAATTTTTAAATATAATAATAAAAACAATCATAAGAATCAAAAAGAAGACAAGACGAGGCACAAGACAAATGAAAAGCATTTCATCTTTCTCTTAAACGATATGACAGCTCTACAGATGGCAGTAACTTGGTCTTGGTAGTGAAACAACAAAGTCACATGATCTCAGTGATGGAGGGTCAGCGCCAATCATGATGGAGCTCTGGTGTGTAAAGGAAAGAGATCCAATGAAATTATATGAATCAGAGATGACATGACTCTATATCAATAGATATAAATCTAGATCGGGTGTGCAGGTGATGCAGCAGTTAGTGTGTACGACCCATGTACGGAGGCCTTAGTCCTCAACACGGGCGACTCGGGTTCAAATCCGGCCTGTAGTCCTTTCCTGCATATCTCTCCGTCTCTCTTACCCCCTTTCCTGTCAGCCTACTGTCTATAGAAGACGGGCCACTAGTGCCGTAAAAACTCAACAACAAAAAAAATCTTCATCTATATTTTCATCTACAGACATGGAAAATATACACATATTAACCACCCTTGTTTTCTTTAATTGCTTGTTTTAAAGATGTATTTATTACCTGAAGAACACAATGAAAAAGATAAAAGGTCTAGTAATACATTTCCTTATATCAATAGATATTTCAAAAACATTTTTAAAAAGCACGCCTTAAACATAACATTTCATTAGAAGAGAACAATTTCAAAATCTGAACATTTTGATCGTGATGCTGCGATCCATATTTTTCACTACTATTTGGATACTTTAATTTGTTACAGTTTGCTTTAAGGTTCTCATGATTTAGATTTAGATTTATTTAAGATGCAGTTATAAACACCTCTCTACATTGATATATGATATGAATGTAGACAGGTAGTTGCCAAAAGCTGACCTGGGACCAATTTAAGGTCAGAAAAGGAAACATAAAATGATTGTGTTTAGAGGACTGATTACATCCAAGAAAAAAACAACCAGCTGTACAGTTTCAGATTGATTTTATTTATTATATGAATGGGGTATCCGGTTTAAGAGATTTTTAATCCAATTAAATAAGCACAGAAATAGACTGAATAGATCAGCATCCACTGTATGGATCTGCCCTATTTTCATCAATACCTGAAGCAGAATTTTAACCATCAGGAGCGATACTGCTAAGAATATTGGATCAGTACATCTTATTTTTTTTTTTTTACAAACCTCTTCTATACAGAAGAAGGCGAGCTCTGTGATTGGATGCCCTCTGGACTCAGAGCAGGAGGTGGAAAACAAAAGGATCCTAACTAAATTAACATCTCCGTTAATGATAATGTCTCCCACCTCATGCATGAAGCTGGTGCTGAACTGGAGAGCTCCTTCAGTGACAGACTGCTGCACCCTAAATGCACCAGGGAGCGTTATCACAGATCCTTCCTCCCAGCAGCTGGAAGACTTTATAACCACCACTGTTCCCAACAACCTCATTAAGTTCTTACATTCATGCTGCTTTTTGCACAGCTTCTGTCTTAGTTAAATAACTTCCTGTTGTCATTTTGCACATCTCTGATGTTGCTGCTATTTTCAAATATCCATTACTGTAAAAATGTCCATAGCTCTTTATTGATTAGTTACTCTCCAGATGCAGACAATTTATATTGTAAAAACACTGTACAGTACTTATTTGTTTGTTTAACTCTGTTACTTGTTCACATTCACTGTCTGCTTGAGCTTATTTCGCTAAATGGCAGAAAAACTGATTTTTCTCTTCTAGGACATTGTGCACATTAAAAAAACTCACAAAAGATTTTATTATACAGACCAACCATTAACAATTTCAAATTAATTTAAATGGGGGGAAAAAACGAAAAACTATTGCAAAAAATTAGATTACTAACTGTAGTTCTGCAGTCCACCAGCAGGTGGTGACAGTGAGGCTTCATCTCAGCATCACTACAGAACAGCTAATCTAAAATTAGTTTCTTTATCAGCGGAAACAGTTTGCCACATTAATAAAACATAAGAACCCTGTATTTCAGGGGGGTTAAACTTATTAAAGATCAAATAAAAAATGTGTCGACATGCTGCATCATTAGTTTTATGCCACTTGTTGATAAAACGGTGCTAAAATAAAATGCCTCCATATGTCAGAGCCACCAGTGGAGGAGGTTCTGTTAGTTCTGGTTCAGGCAGCAGGAAGCAGTTTGTTTCTAAATAGGGCTAAAGCGAACAGAAACACAGTGGAAAGTCTCCATGAAGACCAGCCAGAGTGTTAGAAGAAGCGCTAGCCTGGCTGGCTGGAGCTAAACTGTTCATGTTCACCAATTGCTGCCAGCGGAATAAAAGTCCTCACTGAAACCGACTAGAAGAACAAGAAGTCTTCTACAAACCTGTTCCGACAGAAGTTTCAGCTCCGCTAACTTCATGGACACGCAGTTTGTTGATATTATCCACGACAAGTTCAACAAAACATTTCAAACTGACGCTGTTCGACAGCTTTATAGCTCACCTTATCCCGGAAGTCGGTCACTGTGAACGCTGAAGTTTAGACTTCCCCTGTGGATTTTCAAAATAAAACTTTCCCGTTGTAAAATAAGGTAAAAATATAATAAAACTCTACTGAGGTTCCGCTGGATAAAGCTGTTGCTTGAAACACTGGGAAAAAAGTTAGGCTCTGTTGGAATTTAGGGCATATTTGTGTTTTATGGGGTAAAGAGAAAATGATGTGACTCTGCAAGTCTTTAGTGAAATCATAGATAAACAACTATTTTAATTAAAACCTATTAAATAATCAATTTATGTAGATATTATAACTTGTTAATATCAATTTTATGCAGAATGATTACTTATAAAAGTAGGTAAGTAATGACAATGGAAAAGATATTCGCCCAAAACTCAAACCTGAAAACATTTTATCCACTATACCTTTTATCTAGAAATCCCGGATGTTGAATATATTTTTCTATTTGTTAGCAAACGCTGTTGGAAAATACAGTTTGTCTTTATTTAGAAAATATGGAGGTTTTGCTCGTTAATTTTCCTGTTGGAACAGTGCAGATTGACTCTGAGGTTCTGGCGCCTATCTGCCTTCGGCCACCCCTCAGTGTACATTGGTGACTGCCTGGCCACCCTTATTAACATTTTCTGGATATGCCTCTGATAAGGAGACCGGAAGAGTTTTGGCTATGAATTCAAACAGGTCTAGCCTTCCATGGCTTTCACCGCTGCACATCGCTTAGCAACAGTGATAGTTGACACACAAAACAGGAAAAGAATGAATACCAAACTTTTCAAAAGTGTTTATCTTTATTTTTTTTATTGTAAAGTGAACAAAGACTTCAGTCATGTGAATCCAGAGTGGAAGAAAGGTTCCAACCACCGGGAGCAGGAACAAATCAAATCAAATGTAATGATAGAAACCTTAGTCAGTTAAATAACCTGCTGCTGTCATTCTGCACATCTCTGATGTTGCTGCTATTTTCAAATATCCATTACTGTAAAAATGTCCATAGCTGCATATTGGTTATTAATTCTCCAGTTTTATATTGTTAAAACACTTTACAGTATTTTATTGTTTATATTTGAACTCTTCCCTATTTTGTTATTCTTATATGTTTTCTAAGGTCCACATTTGTGTGACCATTTTTAATAATCTTTCTGCTGCTGTAAATCTGCCCATTGTGGGACAATAAAGGGATTTTCTATTCTGTTATATTCTATAAAAGGGGTAGAAAGATAGAAGTAAATCCAAACAATGTATGTATAAAAAATATATATCTGTAAAATCTCTAATATTCAACAACAAAAAATACTTAGTTAAGCAAATAGTGAAAAAACAGCAATAAAAAAATAAACATCTTATCAGATTTATAGTCCCCACACTGCAGATATATTAGAATCTGTCCTTAAATTACAGCCAAACCCATTTACACAGTAACAGATTAAAACCTTTAAATAAACCAAACATTACCGCCACATATCTGACTCAATAACCATGAAAACAACTATTTTCATTAATTTCAGACAGAACTACTCACAGAGTTATTATATTAAACTGAACTTCCAATATTCACCACTAATCAGCACCAAGTCTGTTTTCCCTCTGATAACGGAGCAGCCAGCTTGCTTAGTCTCACAATGAATCCTTCAAATCGGGCAAAAAGAAGGATGCATTTTTGCAAGTGTCGTGCTAGGTAGGGCAATCAGTTTTGATATGTTGACAATAGCAGTCTTGTCGTCCCACTCAATGACTGCATATATGCACTTGTATTACAGAGCCAACTTTGTGGAACAGCTGCTGGTTTTGTGCAAAACTCTTGATCAAGATTCCCAGTCATCCAGGTCATAGTCATTCCGTAAAAGTTTAAACAGGCTGCTTTTGCAATACTGCCCAGCTGTGCATTTATTAATACGCCAAATTTCATAGAATTTTGAGTTATCTAATCATATTATGCATTGTGATTCACAAATGTAGAGTCAGAATGGAAGAGTGGTCCAAGGCGCCAGACTCAAGGAATCAATCTTTACCTGCTTAGAGGTTTCTGGTCTCCGTTAGGAGGCTTGGGTTCAAATTTGACCCTTGACATTGCATCTTTTCTCTAATCGACACCAATCGTTTTCATTAGAAACACAACAAATAGATGTAATTTACTGGCCAACAGTTTACGGGTTCTGTTTGTTTTCCTTTTAAATCCCTTAACCTGTATATTTTGCAGAACAGGTTGAATTCCGCTGTCCACAAGTTTACGGCATAGTCTTGTCAAAAGCAAAAATCGCCAAGCTGGGTTTCGGTCATTTTTTAAATCCTGTTCCTTATTGTGTTAGTAGAATAGAAAGAGAAACACCTTTTCAATTAAGAGCAATGGTCCAACACATTGGATGAAGATATTTGGTAGGCTGATCATCAAAAAGAGCTTTGAACTATATTCACCTATTGAGAAAGAAAGCTAGGACCATTATTTTTGTTGTGATGGAATAAAAATATGTAATTTGCCATACCTTGCCTTAAAAGGGAACTCAAAAATGTCAGCATAGTAAAGGATCTTTGACATGATATACTTGATACGTTTGTTTAACTTTAACTTTTTCTGCTGTCATGATTCATGCAGCTATTATTTCATCCAAATGAAAAATGGAGAACAGAGAAGCAGATCATGGCTTGTCTACAGTGAAAAGAAGGACTGGGTTATTTACTTTGGCCTTTTTGGAAACACAGGAAGGAGCAATCAGCTAAGTGAGCTTAGTGCTTGGAAAAAATCTTTCATTCCTTTAGAGACAGCATGAAAAGTCAGCTGAGTACAAAACATAGAGAGGAAAACAAGAAGAAAGGGGACAAGAAGAGAGGGACACAACCTAGAACAGATAATGGATGTCTATTCTATTAACATTTCTCTATCTGTAGAATGGGTCTGTTTTATGTGTTGTCTTCTCCATTCAGAGGGGCCCCTGCCTCTGTCTTTGCCTAGGGCCCCAAATTTCCTAAATCCACCCCTGCTACTATTGTTAATTCAACTACTTTAATAAAACAGAGATGAAAAAAAAAAGTAAAGAATCAACATTTGTGTTTGAGTACTCCCCTTAATTCCAATAGGGAGTCATCTCCATGCAATGCAGAAAACATTTTAAGGTTAAACAGAATTGATTAATTCTGTCTCTAACAGGTCCTTGGAACAAGTAGAACCAGAACCTGAGAAGAACCTTCCGACTGGTCAGATGTGGACATGGCCAAAGACACTTTTCAGATTCGCTGGAAGAACCTTTGGAAGAAGCTGCATTAAAATGTTGTCATTTGTAGACCAAGCCAGACGACTGAAAAGAGCCGTGCTGAGAAGAGCTTATACTGAGATGCTGGAATGCGTATGGATCGTCATCAAGTTGACAGATTTATCTACGTCTATTCCTCTACGCATCATTTTTATTGACGTTATCTATCCAGCAGTCCGTCTCGCTCAGTCTGCCTTGGAGGCTGATGCAGACAAAACTAACCGGCAAAGGTCTGTTCTACCTGCTCCTTTAGTCCAATAGGGAGTCATCTCCATGCAATGCAAAAAGGAAGAAAGCATTTTAAGGTTAAACTGAATTGATTCAGTCTCTAACAGGTCTGTGGAACAAGTAGAACCAGAACCTGAGCAGAGCCTTCCGATTGGTCAGACCCTGAAATGGTCAAAGAGACTCTTCAGATTGACAACTCCCAAAAAACATAAAAAACTAATTCCTCTTCCTTGGTGGAGGGTTTCAGTGCTCTGATGATCCCAGAGGCCATGTTGTCGGGGGCTTTAATGCCCCTGGTAGGGTTTCCCAAGCAGTGTTGTTTTTGGCAGCCATCTTAGATTTAGTCTTCAGGACGAAAACTATTATTAGTTTTTAGTCATTACTATATGTGGTAGTTTTAGTCGGTTTTACTTGACTAAAACTTAAAAAGGGTTTAGTCTAGTTTTAGTTTTATGTTACAAAAAAGTTAATCTTTGCAATTTCGAATAAGAACCAGATTCTTTACCAGACTGACAGCTCTATCCTAGATTCTACAATAGCTGGTATAGAATGCTGCCCTGCAGTTCATTGCTGTTGGCAGAAAACTTTGATTTATAGAATTAAAATATACTTTTTTATAAATTAATGCTCTACTTTATGCAACAGTATGTCTCAAAAGTTGTGAAAATAGCAGATCTAGTTCAACAGATATTGGTTAATATTGCAGACAGATAAGCTGAGAAAATGTCCGATTTTAGACATACAAGGTTTCAATCCCAAAGCAAACACTTCCTGATCTACTATGAATTATGCATTAAACACAGATCAATAAAAAAATAATTGCTCCAAAAAAAGCAAAGGACAAAAACGTTATTTCAACTTTGGTCATTTTGGCTTTATTTTTGAGAATTTGCCCCTCGGTTACTGCTGCTCAGGGGTAAGTAGGTTTAAATTCAAAGGATTTTGATATAAAAAAAAGTACAGATAGAACCTATATAATTGTCTTATAAATAACATGCTAATCCAAACCTAATTGGATGAATACGTTAACTAAAATGTTGAACAGCGAAAAATGTTTTCATGACAAATCAAGGTAATATGTACGTTATATTTAAATAGAAACAAGGACAATGAGAGAGAAATATTCAAAGATCTTTGTACCTTTTCATCTGGCTCTTTATCCAAAAATAAACAGAATGCAATGAAATATTTTCTTTGGATATAATTTAGAAATTCCTTTTGGTGGAAATGAAAGAATTTTCAGTATCACCTCTTTTAAGCTGGAAGAAGTAAAATTGTGATAGTTAGACAAAGGAGGTTTTTACGCTTGGCAGAGGATGATCAGCCACATAGTTTATTAAGTAGAGAGAGCAGACAGAGCCATACTGCTGAGAGCGAACCATCAGTGTGGAGCGTGAAGCACAGACTGGCAGGGAATTCCTGCACAAGCACAGCTGGTAGAAAGAGGTGGGGATTCGAGTTTGTGACTCGTACTCGAGTCGCACTTAAGTCGCATATTTAATGACTTCAGACTCGACCGAGACTCGCGATTTCCGACTTGTGAACAATATTTTATTTTTTAAGTGTTTTTTGTTTTACTAACTTGACTGATTGCCGCTCGCCTTACCCGCACACAGCAGGTAAAAAAAAAATGGCAGAGGGGCTGTCAAAGTCATGTAGCACTGACGTCACTGACGCAACGCTACGTGACATATAAGAATGTATTTTTCACTTACCAGTTGGAGATGATGATTATTCCATAGATATAATAGCGACCTTTAAGCTATACCGTCTCAGTGACGGAGATGAAAACACAAGGAGAAACAAGCAAGCACGAAAATTATTGAACTTATTTTTATTAATCATGTGATTAGAATTTATTGTGCGATTAATTTAATATTGCAACAGGCCTACTCTAGACTTGACTTGAGCTCTCAAGACTTGAGACTTGACTTGCAAAAAATGACTTGTGAACATGTCTGGGTTCTTAGACGTCATCCTAGCAGCATAACTATAGAGATAGCTCAGGATAGATACAATAGTATACACATGGATGGATGTTTGGTCTGTGCCAATCGACTGATGATGTGTAAAGGGCACCCAACTGATGGTCAGCACTGCCTTTTAGGATACATCGGTAGACAATTGTTGGCTAGAAGAACCCATGAAGACTTCCTCATTGACAATGTTTTCATCACACTTCTTAAAAAACCAAACCTTCATACAAGGTGTGACAAGAAAATACTGAAAATCTTTATTTGATGCTGCAACATTTTTACAGACAAGCTTCATGGAGCTGCTAAACTGGATACCCCCCCCCCACTGGATCTGTAGATGTTATTCAGTCATGCTCTTCACCCAAGTACATCAAAACTTTCTGCGTCCCACTAGAACATGATTAATCACAAAGTATTTTTAGCAAACAGGGTCAGGTCAATTCTAAGCTGAGACGTTCTCCAGAACCCTGGCAGACCTGGGCGTGAACATAAATACAGTGGTTAATATTAACTTAATAACAAACATCCCCAAATAAAAGCAACATTAAATAGCTACTCAGAAACATTGCAAATTTTACTATCATCACTTCTATACTTAGAAAAATAAATCACGATTAAAATTTATTTACAAGATATTCAGTCAGCACAGCATTTAAAAACAAAACTACTTAGTCTAGCTGATGTACTGCTACCTGTAGGATGATCTACAGCTGAAAATTTTCTGAGGTTTGGAAATGGACAAGCTTCAAATGCTAACATGTCTTCACTGTATGAACTTCATTCGATAATCACCGACCGGAAAGATAAAGCTGACAATAAGTACGACCCATGATAGTGGAAGCCATGTTGTAGGGTCATTATAACCAATTCATGATCGATAGCACCATCCGACTCTAAAACGATAAAATGGAGAAGCTCCACTGGTTTTAAGAAACACGGCGCCACCTGGAGGGCCCAGAGGGAGGAGAACTGGACAGTGGGAGGGAGACCCTGAGGTAGCAAAGCCAATCAAACACACTTTGGAAACGACGATGCAAGAAAATAAAAACCCATTAGTGCATTTTTAATAAAACCTCAATATCATTTGTTAAAAACTAGATTTCTATAGATAAAAAATAAAATAAAAATGAACTTATTGAGCTTGGAGTCCTGAGTCTTAACATGAGTCACAGTTCCACTGAACCGATCATCCTTCACTATATACACAGGCTGGAGTTATTATCACAGCCATGCTGGGGAAGGAGCAGTTTAAAAATGGCCGCTAAAGGGACGTATGTCAGAGAAAGGTCAAAGGTTTTACCTGTGGTTTGTTGCTCTCTGAAGTATAAAAAAACCCAAATGTGTATGTACAAAAATATACAGTACGTCCTAACATAAACTCCAACAAGAGGCGTCTTCTTTTGTATCCCCCCTCCCTCTGTAAACTTTTTCCTTTTTTTTAATTTTTCTAATACGTTTCTATTAAAAAGGCAGTTCTTCAAAATGTCCAAAATATAATTGTCCTTTTTTTCCTATTCATTACAAAAAAAATCATCAAAGCTTCTTCAATGCAGATTTTAAGGTTTAAAAAGATGAAGTTTAAAAAAAATGTGGTACAAGTCAAACGGGTCAGTCGACTGGGTGGGAAGGGAAAAAGGCCCGGGCTGGGTTCCTCAGTAGACGCGGGGAATGATCCGGTAGCGCACAGTTCTGCAGTACTCGTCCCACGCTGAGCCGTACTTCCGTCTGCACTCGTTCATGTCACGAGAGTCTCTGTGCACCAGGAGGATGATGAAGTAGATCATGTAGAACCAGGGCAGGATGTGGCTGAAGCCTGGGGGGTGGAAGAGCACAACATTAGAACCTTTTAGCTCCTTAAGCCGGGCTTACACTCCACGATCTTTTCAATCGTTGGACGCAGCTACAGCTCTCACTGTATGATGAAACCCTGCAGTTTTGTCGTAGTTTGTTCTCACACCGTGCGGCTCAACGCTCTGATGCGATCTACCTGCTCACACTGTACGTCTAAAAACCACGTCGGACTCAGCTCCGCAGTGTGATGGCGCTACTTGGACAAATGTATCCAGAAGCCAAACGAGTAGAAGAGGAACATGAAGCTCACCATAGTAAAACCCGCTGCCTTGGCAATTTGTGTAGTTTTGTGCCGAAAGCCCTAAAAAGAAAAGGCGACGACGTATTTGGACAAAGACATGGCTGAGCAAACGTGGCTACTACGGTCTGTCAATCTAACAGAAAGAACTCCATTTCACTCGCACCCCCGCCATGCTTCTGTGTTTACATTTGAGAGGAAGAAGAAGAGGAATCCTTGTTTGCGAACAGAGTGATTTGTCAACGACCACCTTACGACGGCCTGATCTTCTACCGACACTACGGTTCCTGATCAGGAGGTGGTTGTGAGAGACTGATCGCCCCTCGTTACCCCCTGTTCACTACACCATGCACCATAAGGCTGATAGTCGGGCCGATCGAAACATTATCGCATGACTGGAAAATCGTCCTGAAAAGGGCAAAAAAAAATAAATCGTTCAGTGTATTAGGGGTGAAGAAAATAATAGATTTGAGCTCAAATCGCGTTTCTAACATTTAAAGATTCAGAATCGATTCTCATTTTCTTTAAAAACTATTTTTTCTGTGGGTGCGGATGTGCCTCAGGCAACGTAGTGTTTGGCGAAACCAATGAGCAGCGTGAGCTATGCACAGACATGCAAGTGTTAGCCTACCAGGCTATAGAGTGGTGTGTAGTGTTGTGTGAGCTACTGTGTTTGTTGCCACTAAAGTATGGAGGATGAAGAAAAAGAAAATCAACTGCCTCCGCTGTCTTTAAAAGCAACCATTTGGAAACACTTTTGATATTACCTTCAACCCGGCCCAGGTGAGAAAGGGCTTGACATGACTCATGTGATTTGCAGAGATTGCAACGGTAAAGTTAAGTATTTCGGGAGTACTTCAAATCCCCGTTCTCATCTTGAAAGACATCACCCAGAGTTGTTGGCAGAATTAGATAAATCCAAGACATGTTGTCTTGTGTTTACATTATTGCAATAGGTGAATAAAACATTTACAATTCTAAAGTCTTTATAAATGTACTCTTCTTTCATGCCAGCAGACTGGAATAGATCCCGAGAATCGTTTTTAATCGTAAATTAATCGTTTCTGAATAGAATCGTTTGGATTTAAAAGAATCGGAAAACAATTGAATTGTGACCCCAAGAATCGATTCTAAATCGAATCGTGGGAATACCAAAGATTCACAGCCCTATGGTTATACCAACACTTTCCTCAGCTCCAGGTCCATTCATTCACCTTCATTTATGGGTCAATGTCCTTATAGACAAAAATAATGAAGGAAATAGAGACAGGAAGTGGACAGGAGGACACTAGAAAGGCGCCACTGTGCTCTCTAACCATCAACAGCAAAATTAGGATACAAGGAAGTGAGGGACTCAGGGAAGGAAGATAAACTTATTTTTCCACATTTATAAAACCTAAAAAATCCTGAAATTAAATCCCAGCTGTTACCAGAAGATCTAAGAAAAAGCATAAATAATCTGCTTCACTTATGAAATACCTGAGAGATTAAGTTTTTTTATATCGTCAAAGACAAAGAGGGTGAAAGGGGAGCAGTTAGGTTTAGTGGGTTTTAACATTAATGCAAATCTAAATAGTCCGTCTCAGAATAGAGGAGCTGTGCATGAAGCTGGTGCTGAACTGGAGAGCTCCTTCAGAACGCTGTACCCTAAACGCACCAGAGAGCGTTATCACAGATCCCTCCTCCCAGCAGCTGGAAGATTCTATAACATCACCGTTTCAAAAAACCTCAATAAGTTCTTACATTCATGCTGAGTTGCAGTTTCTACCTTAGTCAGTTAAATAACTGCTGCTGTCATTTTGCACATCTGATACTGTGGCTAATCATCTCATATCCTCTACTGTAAAAATATCCACAGTTGTTTATTTATTCTCCAGATACAGAGCATTTATATTGTAAAAACACTGTACAGTGCAGTACTTATTGGTTTTTTAACTCTGTTACTTATTCTGTTATTCTTATACACTTTCTAAGGTCCACATTGTGTGACCACTGCTGATATAACCTTTTGCTGCTGTAACACCACAATTTCCCCACTGTTGGACAATAAAGGGATTTTCTATTCTATTCTAATAAATGTGCATTTCATAATATGGATGAGCTTATTAAAGAGAAGAAGGCAGAGAAGAAGTTTAATGAAAAGTCTCAGATTAAAATCTTCTCATCTGTTTGATCAAAGCTTTACCTAAACAGCTGATTGAACAGTTTGAAGGAAATTAAACAGCTTTTAAGGTTAAAATCTCCCTGGATGCATTTAAAGCTGACAAACTGAAAGATTACTGTAAATAAAAAGATACAGTCCCAGTTATTGGTTTAATTTATGGTACAGAATTCAGCAGAAGTGAGGTCTACAACAGAAGAAGCTTTCTTCATATCAGTCATTGTTCTAGTTTTATGACATCTGACCAGAAAGCACACTGGAAGGAAGTTAAAGCTTACTCACCACATGGTAGGGACCAGGCCAGGGCCATGATGAGGTCTCCCAGGTAGTTAGGATGGCGGACCACTCCCCACCAGCCCGAGACCAGCAGACTCTTCCCTGTAGCCGTGGGGATCGTTTTCAGATCTGGAAGGAAGAGGAAAGAAAACAAACAGGATGTTTGTCTGGTGGCGTTCCAACAGAAAGAACAACCAATCAGAACTTTAGTGGAGAGGCTGGGCTGAACTTACGGGACAGGCTGGGGTCGGATGGGTTTCTCCTGAAGGCATTTTTCTCAGAGTTGGATTTCCTGAATATGTAGAATCCAACAACTGAAACACAGAGAGAGAGATCACTGCTGCGTTAATACTAGAGGTGTAAAAAAAGGGGGGTAACCATAAAACTGGCTGGATGCTACGCTAACACTCACGTTTGAGGATGACGATGGCTGAGAGCACTGGGAGGCTCAGGGGGTTGGGGTGACTAACCAGGTAATGAGCCTGCAGCGTGTAGGTGAAAGGAACCCACACCAGATCACCAAACGCCAACATGTAGCCAAAACCATCATGCATTAGGTCCATGGTGGTCAGGATGGCCTCCTGGAAGACACGCACAGTTAGCCATGGGGGAAAGCAAAGGACAGGAGTTGTTTTCCTAAATCTAACGCCTGGTTTTTCGGCGTTGTTCTTGGCGTACCTCATTCCACAGGCCGTCCACGACGTAGAGCAGCTGGAAGACGTTGACGAGGATCATGGAACTTGAAGGAGCGTCCAGCTTCTGCTGCTTCATCTCAGCCAGCGCCATGGCAAAGTTGATTAAACACTGAACAATAAAGGACACAGAATAAAGGATTATAACATAGTGGTAACACTGCACCTCGTAGCTAGCTACATGCACCGCCATTCAGTTTGTCTGAATGAAGCTAAAGCCCCTGTCACACCTTCAGAATTTAAACCAGCGTATGCCCGACGAACAAAAAGTCTGGCAAAAATGCTGACGAACATCAGATATTTTCGTATATTGGAATGGTGGGAGTTATGCACTTGAATTTGATTGTGGATAGTTTCTTTGTTTGCATTGGCTATAGCGCCAACTGACCAGGCTAACCTCTGATGAGGAGGGGGGGTCAACCAGGGTCACGTTTCCCACTAATATTGCAGAACTTTAAAAACAGAATCTAGAATAACAGAATGAAGAATTGCAGAGCAACAGTAAAATAACACCCTATAGTCCTGCTTTATATAGTTTATTTGATAAACAAAGTTGATTTTGTGGTAATTTACACTTTAATCTTTTATAGGGCAAGTTAGCGTGTTTGATCACTTGCATACCCCTTACAAATGGAGCCTCCCCATACCTCAGTGTGCAACAGAAGCACAAGATCTATATCCAGCCATTCAGCAAAGATACTGCTACATGGCTGTACATCAACAAATGATTTCACAGAGTGCCCTATAAAGGGTTAAGGTGAAATAGTTTCAGAACAACAAATGATAAACTACAAGCTGGATGATTGTTAAGAAGCGGAGTACAGGCTAGCTACCTGAGCAGGCATACAGTTAAAGTCAGCCTTCAGCAAAAAGCGAGGGAATAATTAGCTGTGCTAATTTCAGGTTACAAAACATGATTATTGAAATATTTAAATGTAGAAGGAATAAATGATCAGAAATTAGATGTTTAAGTTTAAATATAACCTGAGAGGCAGCTTTTTACTCAGTGAGAGGTTGTTTCTCTATAATCAATCATCTGCATGAAAACATTTTAAAATATACCCACTAGGGGGAGCTGTTTGATAAGTGACCCTACTTGCACAGTTAACCTGATCTTCATCAGGCTGAAGATCGTCTGCCTGCCATCACAACTCACCCAGCCGATAAGTCCAGGGCGCATCTCACAGAAGAACTTCAGATCAAACTCCTTGATGCGAGGATTCAGCTCACGGCCTTTGAAGAAGTCATAGATCATGTTACCTGGAGAAATAATCAGCATTCAAACGTTTACAGTTGATGACATCACCGCTAGAAACATCAAACTGGATCTGAGTGTCTGCAGCAAGTCTAACCAGAGTTTCCTCCCAGAGCCCGCTCATCAGGGCTGGTGGAGCGAGAGCGCACATACAGATAGATGCTGAGCAGCATGGCGATCAGGAAGGAGGCGGTGGTCAGCTGCAGGAAGTGGCTGTGGATGTAGGTGAGGTCTGCTCCCTGGTACACTGCTGCTGCCACCACTGCAGCGCTGACCAGCACGGCAAAAAAACCTGGACAACACAAAGCAGACAGGAAAAGGTTTCAGAAAAGCTAATGGGAGGAACACAGCAGACCTCATTGTTAGCGGTGCTGATTTATTCTACTGGAACTACAGCCACACTCAGAGGTGCTGGAAATCTCAGGCTAGATCAAACTATCATCTCAGCCTCTGATTTCCAACATCCAATACTCACAGCTCAGCAAGGAGGAAATATTCAAAATCAGCAGATCCAGAATGAGACCTCTTCAGAAGCGGCCATAGAAATAAGAACTGTAGAACTACGAGACAAGACCTCCATCTATCACACAACATTTTTTTATTTAAAGAAAATGTTGCTGTCACACCTTGATGATTTACACGGCGTGCGCCTGACGTACGGAAAATCTGGCAAAAACGCTGGCATATGTTGGATTAGTTATTGGTTCGCAGAAGTACGCTGACACACGCTAGCACACGTCGAAACACGGCAAGTATGTCCAGAAGTTTTGAGAATGCTCAAAATTTCCAGCGTATTCCATATATGGGGCATAGGTTACAGGTAAGTTATCTGATGGTTGACATACGTTAAGTGCAAGTTACTCATAAGTTGTGGTGTCTAGCTTATCCAAAACCTCTGAGTAACTTCTCCCCCAGTCTTCATCACCATCATAGGGTAAGTAATAAGGTAAGGTTGATGGATCCTCCCCTCACGACCACCACCACCAAACTTCCTAGCAGACATGACGCTGAATCTGCTGCGACTGCAAACCTTTTTTTTCCTTTATTCCTTTATTTTGGGCGGGCGGTAAACAGCAGCAGGTTAACACAGTTATCAAATAAATCTTTTTATGAAGACTTGGCGCATCACTGCTCTTGAGGGGAGCAGCTTTAACTGATGCTGACATGCGTTATGCATAAGTGAGGCTGTCCTTGTACATAAGTTCTGGACTCGTTATGAATACTCTATGTATACGCCCAAATGTCAGCATTTTATGAGATTCTGGTACGCCGGGTATACATTGGATAAATCAGCAAGGTGTGACAGGGCCCTAACCTTCAGAGAAATACTAGTGAGGGGTTCGGAGGGGTTTGGTCCCAATTTGTAAAACTGCTTGATTTAAAGCTGGAGGCATCTTTCAAAGACATCCATTATTGAACACTAGGGCTGAATGATTTTCCCAAAAACCAAAATTCTGATTAATTTGAACCAATATTGCGATTTTATTGCAATTCCCCCTGAAACTAAGCACCAATATGCAGATGTTTCATTTGAGGGTTTCAGTTTTTTCATGACTTTACTGTAAACTGTGTTGAAAAAGTTCCTTATTTCTGTAACTGAGCTTCCCTTTTTTAGGCATATTACTGCCACCTGAATGGCTGGATGGAGAAATTGACTTAACTTATTTATCTTACCCCTGTAAATGTAAGGTGACTAAAATTGAGGGCCTCTGTGATTTGAAAAATGCAATTAATTACCGAGTCCAATAGAGACCAAACAGAACCAACATGTAGAGAACAGCGTCCCCTTAATTTGTTTCACATTTAATGACCGACTTTCAGGATAAAACTACTTCATTTGCCAATTTATACAACCTACAATTTTCCAGGCATGGAATTATGTGCCGACCCAATAAATCAGAATAAACATGACTGGTAATTCAGTCACCCAGGAGAAGAGCCCATGTATGTGCTGCTCTGCACACGTCACCCACTACAGGATAAAGATTAAATAAAAATCATCTTGACTGCCGTCATCACGGGCGAATGCCTTTTATTACCATTTTCCAAAAAATAGCATGAGGCTTGAACTTTTTTATTCAGAAATTCACAAACTTTCAATGACCAACAGCAACCCTCAGATAAGCATTAGTACAGCTTTTCCAGGCCAATATATTCTGTATGACCCTTTTGTTTTTCTGTAAAAAATTGTTAAAAATATGAAACTGTGAACAAGCAAGTTTTTGTAAACATAAAGTTTTGATTGTCATTTTTGTATCTTAGGCAATACTACAGGTCTCTGAGCATTCTTTGATTATTTATTATTTGGATAAACTGAAAAGAAAATTGGATTCAAGCGTTTAAGAACCAACAATAACCAGGAAGGAGAAATTCAGACTTCCTCTCCTGCTGATCAGAGCTGATTAAAGGAAACCGGGTGGATGCTGATCGTCCTAAAACAATCTAGATGGTTTCTACAGTGAAAAAGCAACATGGTGTCCTGAACTGAATGAAATAATCATGATTTTCTATTAAACCATTCACATGAAAGCATCTAATGAGCCAACATCTGTGAAACTGTCAAAGTGTGATCATTGCAGCCTTACCGTTGGTTCTGTACTTGAGCCTTCTGCCTGATCTCAGCAGCACGCCTTCACTCAGCTACAGACACAGAGAAAAGGGATTCAGATAGAAGGAAAATAACTAGACAGTAAAGGCAGAGATGTTTGATTAGCATCTAAAAGATGAGCAGCTGGGTTAACATGAGAGCTTCCATTCTTCTCCAAGTGTTACTCCTGACCATTAATCCAATTTCTACCTCCTGCCTGACTGAGCAAACACAGGTCATGTGCTGGTTCACGTGGATCGAGCAGCCAGCAGGGGTTACTTAACTACTACGCTCAGAACAGAGGAGGACACGGCTATTCTCACTCACCTTTCCAACAGGCAAAACGTAGAGCAGAGCCTGGAATAAAATCCAGAGGACAACAAAGCCGAGAGCTTGAGGATCCCAGAAGGATTGGAGAGGAGGCAGAGGAGGAGGGAAGTTAGCCAGACTGGGATCCTTCCGGTTGACCTGGAGGAGAAGAAAAAGAACCCAGGCCGGCAGGAAGAGCGTCCAGAAGAAGGCTCCTAGGGACGAGAAAAACTTCTTCAGCTGCATAGAAGCGTCATTTTTACAATATTGGATGATTGAGACCAGAGGAAATTATGACCAGACCTAAAGTTGATGTCTAAACTGAGGTATAATGAACCAAAACCTAAAATGTCTGGTGACCTCTAGGTTAATGAGACAGAAAATCCAAACCAATAAATACAATGGATTGTAAAGTGTCTGTAAACAAATGATCCTTTGGATGATTGTTAGCATGTTAGCTGTAATGTTGAGCAGTGGACGAAACCATCTCAGCAGAAAGAGAGGAAGACAAACAAGCATGTAAAGGGAAATTATCAAGCTTATTTGAAATTGATCACGCCACTAAGTGGTTTATAAGGGCAGGCACAGATTCAGCCATTTTCCCCAGAGATTTCCATCTGTAAAGCAGCAGCACACTCAGTACTTTGATAACAAGCTTTAAAGCATGAATGGGTGGAACCATGTGATCTTTTCCAGCTGAACGGCAAACTAAATATTTCATTTTGATGGTAAATGAAGTTGAATCAGCTCATCGAACCTCTAAAAAGGAAGGAAATGTTTCTATACTCTGCATAGTTAACGGTGCAGCCAGCGTCCCTACAGACGTCCTGTGATCCATCAGTGAGATCAGAACTGCCAACAGAACTAAACCGGACTACAGTGGGCTTACAGACATGTTTGGATGTAACTCACCTATCTTCCCTCCAAAGTCCAGTCGGGGGGAGGCGGGGGTGGGGCCTGTGACTGCGAGCGCCGCAGACGGCTTGGCCTCCTTGACCTGCTGCTCTGTTTTGGCCTCAGCTGCTTTGGCTTCTCCATCGTCCTTCCTGCGGCGCAGGTTGTAGCGGCCCAGGTTCTTCTCTGGATCTGCTTCTGCCTTAGCGTCAGGCTGCACAACGACTGAGAATCAGTTTTCACTCTGGGAACGTCATAAACCCCAAAAATAGGGTTAAAAAAACCAAGACAAACTAAGCAGGGAAGAATGCTAAAACGGTATCTGACTGGTTGGACACAGCTACCCTCATACCACAGCTCAGAAAAATACAGAGAAGGATCCTTTAAGTAGATTAGTTATTGGACATCCTGCAGGAAGAGCAGAGCTCAGTTTTAATTCAGAACCTGAACTTGATCCCAGTGAACAGACTGCAGATGAAAGACACGTGCTGCTCCAACATGTGATGGAGCAATGAGGTTCAGTCTTGTGAAGAGGAGCCTCTCAGCTGGAAACCACACAAGGCCCCCATCAACCTGCTCACATCATGACATTCCAGCAGAGGACTCACCACCAATTGCTCTACAAACTCTGTTGTCTTGTTTCCTGGTCCACACAAAGCTTTTCTAACTAAGGGACCCCAACATGGCTGCCCTGCCTGGCGTTCAGGAAAAACCAGGTGGACGTTGTTCCAGGATATGAACCATAACTCACCTGAATCTCTTTGCTAGCAGTGTTATTCTCCTCTTTCTTCTCGTGTTTATTGTTGCTGCTGTTCTCTGTTGGCTTTTTCTCCTGCGGCTGTCAGACAGAGGGGAGATGGAGAAGAAGAAAAAACACCACATGAGGGACAGACCAGACATTTTCCCAAGATGAATGAAGTTATTGCTGGTTTTGGACACGTAATACAGATGCTGTTAAACATAACCTCCCCGCCTCACCAGAGGGCTGAGCTTGACTTCCGGTGCGCGCTTGAGCTTTGCATCACCGTGAGAAGACGGAGCACTTTCTGTGATAGCTGCTGATGCTGCGGCGGCTGTACGGGAGGACGAGCGGCGGGTGGTCCTGGCAGGGGAGCGGGAGCGGCTGCGGCGACGTCCAGGAGAACGGGAATTGGAGCGAGAGCGAGTGCGCGCCTGGAAGCTGAGGTAGCTCTGATGGAGGACGGAGAGGAAACAAAAAACAATAAAACATCAGTTTTAATAAAAAACCCAGATCCAGGAGAGGAGGACATTTTTAAAGAAAACAAAGAGTAACAGCAGGGCTGGGCTTAACTATGATGTCCTGCTCCTTCAGCTCCAGCTCAGTGCCGTCCTTGTAGATGACAGTGTAGAGGCGACTTTTGGAGTCGAAGCCGAGCACCTTGACCTCGTAGTACAGGCTGCTGCCGGGCCAGCGGCCCATCACCTTTTCCCCAGGCTGGTACTTCAGAGAAGGCATGTTCAACTACCTGAAACGGATTCAAACACAGTAATGGGCGACTGAAGGCAGATTTAAGAGAGAAGAAGGATGACACGCAGTGAAATAGATCAATAAAAAAAGAAAATTAAACATGAAACCACTTTTATTCTGTTTACATTTTTTCATTGCTTTGCCTCCCAAGAGCCGCCTGCCCAAATGTAAGCTTGTGGTTTAAAACTGTTTTATCAGTTAGATTTAAGCTGGTGGAGTGAGATCCCTTTATATTCATGTATTAAATTTGCATGGTTCTATGCTGACAGCGCTGAAGGAGGAGAGATCACTGGTTGCTCTCTATGTGCTTCTATAGATTGATTTTATAGTCCTTTCATTGTGTCTCCACTGTCTACAGCTTCCATTAGATAGAAATATTTCCTTATGATTATAAAGTCAGGCTATTAATCCCGTTTAAATCCCGAATTTTTATTAAATGTTTGTATGTGTTTTGTTTGTTATGTAAATTATTTTTGTTGTGTGTGTTATGTATGAGGTGTATGGACTTTGAAAAAGTGGTATGTGTGTTTATTTTTTAGGGTTGGGGTTTTTGGTGGAAAAGGGTGTGTGTTATTTGTTTATGTTTATTGAGGGGGTAGTTGGTTAGGTTTTTTTATGTTTATTGGGGTTGGGGGGGTTTTTTTTGGGGGGGGTTTTTGTTTTTTTTGGGGGGTTTGGGGTTTGGGGGTTGTTGTGGGTGTTTTGGGGGGTTTGTTTTGTTGAGTTTGGGGGGGGTTTGGGGGGGTTTTGGGTGGGGGGGTTTTGGGGGGGTTTTTGGTTTTTGGGTGGGGTTTGTTTGTTGGGGTTTTTTTTTTGTGTTTTTGTTTTTTTATTTTTTTTATTTTTTTTTCTTTAAATTTTTTTTTATTTTTTTTTTTGTTATTTTTATTTTTTTTATTTTTTTTTATTTTTTATTTTTTTTTTTATTGTTTGGGTTTTTTTTTTTTTTTTTTTTTTTTTTTTTTTTTTTATTTATATTTTTTTTTTATTATTTTTCTTATTTTTTTTTTTTTTTTTTTTTTTTTTTTTTTTTTTTTTTTTTTTTTTTTTTTTTTTTTTATTTTTTTTTTTTTTTTTTTTTTTTTTTTTTTTTTTTTTTTTTTTTTTTTTTTTTTTTTTTTTTTTTTTTTTTTTTTTTTTTTTTTTTTTTTTTTTTTTTTTTTTTTTTTTTTTTTTTTTTTTTTTTTTTTTTTTTTTTTTTTTTTTTTTTTTTTTTTTTTTTTTTTTTTTTTTTTTTTTTTTTTTTTTTTTTTTTTTTTTTTTTTTTTTTTTTTTTTTTTTTTTTTTTTTTTTTTTTTTTTTTTTTTTTTTTTTTTTTTTTTTTTTTTTTTTTTTTTTTTTTATTTTTTTTTTTTTTTTTTTTTTTTTTTTTTTTTTTTTTTTTTTTTTTTTTTTTTTTTTTTTTTTTTTTTTTTTTTTTTTTTTTTTTTTTTTTTTTTTTTTTTTTTTTTTTTTTTTTTTTTTTTTTTTTTTTTTTTTTTTTTTTTTTTTTTTTTTTTTTTTTTTTTTTTTTTTTTTTTTTTTTTTTTTTTTTTTTTTTTTTTTTTTTTTTTTTTTTTTTTTTTTTTTTTTTTTTTTTTTTTTTTTTTTTTTTTTTTTTTTTTTTTTTTTTTTTTTTTTTTTTTTTTTTTTTTTTTTTATTTTTTTTTTTTTTATTTTATTTTTTTTTAAAATTTTATTATTTTTTTTTTAAATTTTTTTTAAAATTTATTTAAATTTTTTTTTATTTTTTTTTTTTTTATTTGTTTGGGGTATTTTTTTTATTATTATTTTTTTTTTTTCTTTTTTATTTTTTTTTTTATTTTTTAAAATTTTTTTTATTTTTTTTTAATTTATTTTTTATTATTTTAAAAAATTTTTGGGGGTCGTTGTGTTTTTTGTCTTGGGTTTATTATTTTTAAAAATTTTTTTAAAAATTTTTCTTTATTAAAAATTTTTTTCATTTTTTTAATTTTTATTAAATTTTAAATTTAAAAATTATATAATTTTTTCTTATTAAAATTTTTATTTTTTTTTTTTTTTTTAATTATTTTTATTTTTAAATTTTTTTTTTTTTTTTTAATTTTAATTAATAAAACATATTACATATTAAAAAATAAAATACATTTATATAAATTTTTATTTATAATATATATTTTTATATTTTTAAAAATTTTTTTTATATTTTTTTTTTTATTTATATATATTTATTATATATATATATTTATATTATCTTTTTTTATATTTTATTATTTAAATTTATTTTGTATTTGTATTTTTATAAATTTATGTATATTAAAAAATTTATTATATATGTTGTTTATTTTAATTATATATTTTGTTTTATTTTTTTTATTGTATGTTTTAAAAATTTTATTATTATGTATAATTAATTTTAAATTTAAAATTTTTATTATATATATTTATAATAATATATAAATTTTTTTAAAAATTTCATTATATATACCATTTATATAAATTTTATTTAATTCCCAGATTATTTTTTTATTTTAAAATCTATATATAATTATTAAATATTATATAATTAAATTTTTACATATTTTATATTTTTATACACATCTTTATTATAAATTTTTAAAAATATATATATATGTATATGTTATATATATAAAGTATGTAATATTATGTTTTTTGTATATAAGTTATATATGATTTTATATATTATATATTAATATACCATTAAAAATATATATATACATATAACATTATTTTTTATTTATATATTATATATTTTTATACAATAACTATAATTTTATAACCCTATTTACATACCCTATATACATTTAAAATATATATTAACCACCACCCAACCTTAAACATTATGGGTATTTACTCCAAATTGTGCCTTTTTTGCCACAAGGAAACCACTTAAAAAAAGTAATTAACTATAAGGATTGTAAAAATATTTAAATCTTTTGCATAAAAAAAAAAAAAAATGTTTTCATGTCAATATGCTATATGCAGAACTCCTCGAGTGGAAAAGTTTTATTTCACCTGGTTTAATTTCGTAATGAAAAACCCTTCTTTAGGGAACCTTTGGCTATCCAATTAATCGAAAAAATAATCAACAGATTAATCGATTAGCAAAATAACTGTTATATGTCCCAATATATTTATATATAAAATCAATGTAGTAATTAATCAACAATTACTAAATTGACATTTTACAGTGTATTACTTTCTATTTTCTAACGTTAGACACAATGTCAATGGCTAACTCAGTCAATATCTTCGAGTCAGTCTGAGACAGCCAGACTAATGCTAGGCTAAATACTATACTAATGGATACATCGGCTTATTTGTGGATTTTCTTGGTTAGTTCATCCTCTGACTGTGAAATAACCTGTGGAACATCTTCCCACAGCTGGCAAACTGCATGTTTTAGCAGCCAAATGCTACACAAGTAGGCATTTCTATTACTTGCCTCAGTGAGAGTGGGGAGTACCAAGATGGCGGCAGATGACTTAAATTTTTTTATGGCTATGAGCAATCCCGGGAATAAAAAGAGATCAGGGGGTTGATGTCAAATAGTAAGGGTAAAACCAACGGTTCTTATTACCGCCACCTGCTGGACTGCAGGTCTAGTTCAGTTTCTGGAAGGCTGCCTACTACTACTGCCACCTAAAGGGCTGGAGTGAGATAGTCAGTATCTTACTCTGTTTAAATGTAACAAGACCATAAATTTAGGGCCTGTAAGATTACGAAATAGCAGCAGTTTAAACTAATCGATTAATAATCAGTACCTTAAGAAAACAGCTTTTCATTTTAAATACTAAATGGATTTAGATTGTCTAATGTTCTGTTCTGAGTGGGTTGTTCTTTCAATAAAATTCAGTTTTACAGTCTGAAGAGTTTACTTAATGATAATTCAACTACTGTATCAGTTGATTATTTCAATAGTCTTTTACGAAATTAAATGTTATTAGTAACCTATGAGATTTCTCCTCAAAAATAATCAGAGTAAAAACTTGATAAAGTTAGTATATCAGAATCCAATAGATTACAAGTGAACAACTCAAACTAATTAACCTTCTCAGTAGTAGCAGCAGTGATGTAGAAAAAAACCTGCATTAAGAGAAGACTCCACATGTTTGCAGCATGATGTTAAAATAATATAAATCAACTTTACACTACAGGCTTCATTCTTCGACCACACTTCTTACTTTAATTTTTAAAGCCTACCACTTAAAAACTCCTATTCTCTTTTTAGATGAAATATTTAAATCAGTTTCCTTTCCTGGTACTATTCTTCTTTTTTTTAATACTGAATCATCTCCTGTGACCAACAGATGAGAAGATGTTAAAACATAATTATAGAAAGCGTAGTTTGAGGATTTGCAACCAAAACTGATGAGTTTTGTATTTCATGATCACAATAAATCGTTGATTATCAGTTTGATCGTTGCCCATCCCTAAAGGCAGCATAGGAGTTATTTTTGGCCACAAAGGAACAAAAACTTTAAGATCATTAAAACACATCTAACACATTATATCTAAAGCAATGCAGAGAACAGCCACCTCAAACAGTTCATTATGTGACTCTTCTAAAAAATGTAATGCAGAGGCACACAGCCACGGATTATAGCGGCCTGCTAGAGAACACACGGCTCCTAAACCAACATGAGAACTAAAACACAGCGGAAAGATCTAGCTAAACACAAAGCTACATTAGCAAACAATCAGAACAACATCATGCTACAGTAGAGCCAAACTCAATAGAAAGAGACAGAGCAGGCAAAGTCAGCATAATGAAAGCGAACAGAGCAGAGGGGACATGGTGGCTGGAAAAACCAGCGGGCTAATGCAGAACTGCTGACAGGTCTGTCCCTGTCAGGTTTACCCACAGCCCAAACAACCCATTCAGCTCACCGCCAACTGGGACATGAATGAAAGGAAACCAAGGATTGTTCACACAGCAGCTCTGTGATCTCTGGCTGTAATTTTACAATCACAAATAAGAATCAGAACCCAGCAGGTAAATCAAGTCAAAACCATGGCTGCAATTTTTCTAGACCAAAAAAAAAAAACCAACATGAACATTTTTTTGAGTATTTAAGCAGGTAAATGAGACTATATGTAAATGGAAGTATTTTTACCCTTAAAATCAGATAATAAAATATATTATGCACTTGTAATATGACAATATCATTGTTTTGTTCTTATTTCAAATGTAAATAATCTTATTTCATTGGAAAACTGTCTCACTTACTTGCTAAATTCAAGAAAAGGGCCCTTTTTAAGAAAATTGGCTGAATAAAATGTTTTGCATCTTATTTTGTTCAATCTAACTTGATATACAGAGCAAACAAAGAAGTTATTTTACAATAAAGCATGACCTAAGCAGGAAGGTAATTTAACACCTTAGATAAACACAAACTTAAACCAACCTGAGCTGATGAAACCAGGAGTGACCAGTACAGCCAGTACAGACTTCCTCACATTCCAGTGGTTCTTTATTACAGGACAGAGACAGTATCTACCTAGAGATTTATCACCATAACCGTTTGCCAAAAAAAAACAACAAACAACTATGATTATCTACAAAGAAAACTTTTTGCAAGGCTTCATAAGTCCTAAAACCAAGCAGAGTCTGACTGAATGGAGTCTAATGTTCCCAATAAGCCCCAAGTTCACATCTTGTAAAAACATGGAAGTTGATCCCAGAAATGACACACCCAAAGCCAGCCCAGCTCTGCTCCTCAGGTCTGCAGGCTCAAGTCCATGAGGAATGTCCAGATCCTGTCAGATCAGACTGCCAGCCGGGCTCCAACCAGAGGGTGGGGTTTCAAATTAAAGAGAGACGATGGAGACCCCCACCCACATTTGGAGATGGACTTTTTAACATTCCTTTAGCTGCCGTGTGTTCTCTAACAAAGAAAGGGAGAACTATTCATCTATGCTCCCTTTTAACTCCGAAACATTATTAAAACCAGCAACACGTGTCCATAAACATTAGTCAGCTTTCCAGCAAAAATATTTAGAATTTAAAAGTAATTATAATCATAATTTTCTGAAACTGAAATGCACACCAACCATAGATTTTTTTAGTGTCTATCTTTCCTAAATTCATTAGTTTTAGTCGCCAGCTTTGCTTAATTACAAGAGATGCGTTAACAAGGCATTAATAACGCTTCAGTCTGGGTAAAAAACGTGAACTGTTGCTTTAACTAAATGCGCTTTGCTTTCAGAGAATCCTGCTGCAGCTACAAGCAACAAAACGGAAAGGAGGGAAAACGTCATGCTTTCAAATACTGCAGCTGAACAAACCCCGACGGATCCGCCAAACGGACAATGACCGCGCGCCCACCATGAAACCACCGACTAATCAATGGAAACTAACAACAACGGCGTTAATATGTCACTCATGAAACCGGAAACTAAAATGAATAGATGTTGTTATAAGTTCCTACCTGTTAATAACAATCAGAGTCGACAGGGGCCGTCTAATTCCTGCGCACTGTATGACTGCGTATGTTAATCTCATTGCTGGCTAAAAACCGTTAACCAGTGTTAATGAGAGAAACCGCTCGGCTTAAACTGTTAAAAATATCCTCAGTGCAAGATTTAACTTATTAATGTGGCGAGAACACATACGTGTTACAACATGAAGGTTTGTTCGAACTGATTTTAATTATAATAAATATTAATTTCGACACCAGAAATTAGTCGGAGCCCAGTTCACCGTTAGCAGGAGTTAGCATCGGCTAAGCTCCGTTACCCAACAAAGAGAGGCGCAAAGAAGACTTGAAATTCTCTTAAGTCAACCAAACCTGGAGACGCACTTACCTTATGTTGCGCAGTTAATTTCGCAGAGTAAACGGGGTATATAATCCAAACCACTAAATAAATGAATTGAACTTAATATTTTTTTTTAAAAACGAACTTTGCTAACGTTTGACGTAGAGCTCTTTCTCCCTCCCTCTCCGGGCAAAACCCACCAGTGACCAGGAAGGCGCGAAGCCTTGTGATTGGGTGGCTCATCGTTCATTTCAAACTGCTCTGCTCTCTGATTGGTTGTTGGTGGATTTTAAATGTATTTGGGTTGGTTAGGAGAGAGTCACGACTATATTGTTTATTGGTGTCATATTACAGCCATACAAAATGGTAGATTGTGTCGAAAACATACAGAATATAAACATTTTCTTGAAGGAAAAATAAATATGGCAAATAATTTTTAAATAATCAGATTTTAGATGTTATCAGGGATACAGTGTTAAGATGTTAAACTAAATTTTGTCTCCCAAATAAAAAAAAAAAATTAAATAAAATGTTAATTTCCAGAATCTATTAACTATATGCTGGCACATGAAGTTAATATTTTTAATACAATGAGAGGAAGAATGGCGCGTTTGAAAATTCAAACTCCCCAATCAGACTGCAGCTCAGCTGTTTTTTTTCAGCTTCCTCATCTCTCTGCAGCTCAGTGTTTTCCTGTCTCAGTGCAGCTCTTACCAAGGCCCTTCTGTCGCAGTAAATCAAGAAAAAAAAAAGCTTAAATGAACAGCAGATGTACTGCAGAGTTCCACCCAGAGGAAATACGGCTGCCTATGAAGAGGCAAACTTTTTAAGTAGCCGATTAAGTGGGGGAAGCCTCCCCAGGACAGTTCAAAACATCCAGAACACTGTTTTTAGTAACATGATGCAGCAGCACCAGGATAAAATCAGGATAGTGTTAAGAGTTTTGAGAGTCTACCTTAATTTTACATAAATCTAAATAGATTACGGCATTTAAATGCATTTAAACATTAAACTTGGTTTCACTTTTAATCCAAAAACATTGAAGATGAATAAAAAGTAGCGTGGTGTTTCAGATTTGAACTGGTAATCTGTTATCGGTTCGCTTGTAATAACA